TACAAGAAAGAAACGATAGAGGAAAGAAAGAAAATAAAGAAACGTTAATATGAAAAAAACGATAAAAAGGATGAGAGAAAAGAAAGAACCGTTAATATGAAAAAAGAAAAGATAAAAAGGAAGAGAATAGAAAAAACGTTGACATGAAAAAGAAACGATAAAGGGAAGAGAGAAAAAAAAACAAATGATAATATGAAAAAAAACGATAAAGGAAAGAGAGAAAAGCAAAAACCTTAACATGAAAAACGAAACGATAAAAAGGAAGAGAAAAGAAAGAACGTTAACATGAAAAAAAAACGATAAAAGGAAGAGAGAAAATAAACAAATGTTAACATAAAAAAGAAACAATAAAAACGTAGAGAGAAAAGAAAGAAACGTTAAATGAAAAAAGAAACGATAAAAAGTACGACAAAAGAAAGAACGTTAACATGAAAAAAGAAACGATAAAAGGAAGAGAGAAATGAAACAAATGTTAATATGAAAAAAGAAACGATAAAAGAAAGAGAGAAAAGCAAAAACCTTAACATGAAAAAAACGATAAAAAGGAAGAGAAATGAAAGAAACGTTAACATGAAAAAAGAAACGATAAAAGGAAGAGAGAAAAGAAAGATTGAGATGAAAAAAAGAAACGATAAAAAGAAAGAGAGAAAAGAAAGAAACGTTAATATGAATAAAGAAACGATAAAAGGAAGAGAGAAAAGAAAGAAACGTTAACATGAAAGAAGAAACGATAAAGGGAAGAGAGAAAAGGAAGAAATGTTAATATGAAAAAAGAAACGATAAAAAGAAGAGAGAAAAGAAAGAACGTTAACATGAAAAAAGAAACGATAAAAGGAAAAGAGAAAAGCAAAAACGTTAACATGAAAAAAGAAACGATAAAAAAGACGAGAAAAGAAAGAACGTTAACATGAAAAAGAAACGATAAAGAGAAGAGATAAAAGAAAGAAACATTAACATGAAAAAAGAAACGATGAAAGGAAGAGAGAAAAGAAAGAAACATTAACATGAAAAAAGAAACGATAAAAGGAAGAGTTAAAAGAAAGAACGTTAGCATGAAAAGAGTTGAACGAAAGAATAGCTAAAAGGAAGAAAGGAGCAGTATAATGAAAAAATGAAAGAAACGTTAAAATAAAATTGAATGAAAGCAACTATAAAAGATAAAAAAAAGAAAAGAAGAAACAAAAAGAAGAATCACAAAGAAAGAAACAATGCTAAAATATGAGAAAAACATTAAAACAAAAAAATGAGGCTTGTGAAAAAAGAAAGAAGAATTAACATGAAAGGAGATAAAAGAAAGAAATAACATCAAGAAAGAAACATTATAATGAAAATTATATGAGAGAAACGTTAAAATGAAAGTAATTGAAAGAAACTGTAAAAGAAAGAAAGAAAAGGCGAAAGAAAAAAGAAAGAATGCTAAAATGAAAAAGGAAAATAAAGCAGGATAATCTTGAAAGTGGAAAAATGAAAAAAATCTTTGATATCGAATGAAGGAAAATACGTTTAAAATGAACGCTACAAAGAAAGAAAGGAATGTTACCATGAAAAGGAATGAAAGAAAGAATTAATAAAAGAAGGAAAAACATAAAGAAAATGAATAAAAGAAAGAGAAAAAATTAAATAAAAGAAAGAAAAGTTAAAAACAGCACGCAAAGAAAGAAAATATAAAAAAGAAAGAAAGAAAGTGAGAACGATAGCAAGTAAATTAAAAGCGAAAGGAAGTGGGAGAAAAGTTAAAATGAAAAATAAAATAATGAAAGACAGAAACTATACAAAAGAACACATAGAAAGGAAGAGAAAAAGAAAGAAAAAAGAAAGAAAGACAAAAAATAAGAAAGAAAAAAGAAAGAATATTTGAATGAATAATAACAGAAAAAAGAGAGGAGGAAAAGAGTCAAGAAAGGACGAAACGTTAACATGAAAAGGAATGAACGAACGAATTGATAAATACATGGCTAAGACATTCAAATGAAAATTAAATGAACGCAAAAGAAACGTTAAAATAAACTTGAATGAAAGAAACTGCAAAAGAAAGAAAGAAGAAAAAAGGAAGTAAGTAAAAGAAAGAAAGAAATAAAGAAAGAATGCTAAAACAAAAAAGGAAAGAAAGTAGGAAAAACTTCAAAATGAAAGCGAATATAAAAGAGATTTTAAAATAATATAGAATGGCAGAAAGTAACTCTTAAAGAGAAAATACGTTAAAAGCGAAGAGAAAAAAATAAAAATAATTACAGGAAAGAGACAATGTCAATAAAGTAACGAAGGGAATGAAAAAAGAAAGAAAAATTAAGAAGAAGAAGAAACAATGCCAATAATTTAATGAAATGAAAAAAAGAAAGAAAAAAGAATAGAGACAATGTCAATAAATTAACGAAATGGAAGAATGAAATAAAGAAAAGACAATGTCAATAATATAACCAAATAAAAAGAAAAGAATGAGTGAAGGAAGGAAAGAAAGAAAAAAAAGAAAACAGACAATGTCAATAAATTACCGAAGTGAAAGAAAAAAGTAAGAACGAGTACAGTAAATTAACGAAGTTAAAAATGAAAGAAAGAAAGAAAGAAAGACAATGTAAATAATGTATTTAAGTGAGAGAAAAAAAAAGAATGAATAAATGAATGAAGGAAGGAAGGAAAGAAAGAAAAAAGAAAGAAAAGAGTTAATATCAATAAAGTAGCGAAGAGAAAGAAAAAGAAAGAAAAAAGGAACAGTAGTAGCAAATACAATAAAGTACGAAAAGAAAGAAAGAAAGAATCTCAGTAATGTAAAGTAGTGGAAAGAAAGAAAGAAAAAGGAAAGAAAAGAGGAAAAGTCAATAAAGTAACGAAGTGAATGAAAGAATGAAAGAAAGAAAAGAAAAAGGCAATGTCAATAAAGTAACAAAAGACAGAAAGAATGAAATAAATAAAGGAAGAAATAAAGAAAGAAAGAAAGAAAGTGTCAATGTCAATAAAGTAACAAAAGAAAGAAAGAATGAAATAAATAAAGGAAGAAGGAAAGAAAGAATGAAAGAAAGAAAAGAAAGAGTCAATGTCAATAAAGTAACAAAAGAAAGAAAGAAAGAAAGAAAGAAAGAAAGAAAGAAAGAAAGAAAAAGAGAATGCCAGTAATGTAACGTAGTGGAAAGAAAGAAAGAAAAAGGAAAGAAAAGAGGAAAAGTCAATAAAGTAACGAAGTGAATGAAAGAATGAAAGAAAGAAGAGAAAAAGGCAATGTCAATAAAGTAACAAAAGACAGAAAGAATGAAATAAATAAAGGAAGAAATAAAGAAAGAAAGAAAGAAAGAATGAAAGAAAGAAAAGAAAGAGTCAATGTCAATAAAGTAACAAAAGAAAGAAAGAATGAAATAAATAAATAAATAAAGAAAGAAAGAAAGAAAGAAAGAAAGGAAAGAGTCAATGTCAATAAAGTAACAAAAGAAAGAAAGAAAGAAAGAAAGAAAGAAAGAAAGAAAGAAAGAAAGAAAAAGAGAATGTCAGTAATGTAACGTAGTGGAAAAAAAGAAAGAAAAAGGAAAGAAAAGAGGAAAACTCAATAAAGTAACGAAGTGAATGAAAGAATGAAAGAAAGAAAAGAAAAAGGCAATGTCAATAAAGTAACAAAAGAAAGAAAGAATGAAATAAATAAAGGAAGAAAGAAAGAAAGAATGAAAGAAAGAAAAGAAAGAGTCAATGTCAATAAAGTAACAAAAGAAAGTAAGAATGAAATAAAGGAAGAAAGAAAGAAATAAAGAAGGAACGAAAAGAAAGTGTCAATGTCAATAAAGTAACAAAAGAAAGAAAGAAAGAAAGAAAGAAAGAAAGAAAGAAAGAAGAGACAATGTCAGTGAAATAAATAAGAGGAATAAAACTAAATACAAGAAAACAAAGCAAAGTATAATTGTATTGAAGATACAATCATCAGCTTTTCAGCCCCCTCCCTTGCTATCTACCCGCGACACTCATTTACATCCCCAGGGGTCCTTTTTTTTCTGTCTTTTGCATTTCTCCAGAGACTATCATTTAGTAAACCAATCCTGTTCAACATCATATTTTGCATTCACCCCACTACCGACTTCCCGCCACGATTTCCCGCTTATCTACGTCACCTGAAATTTCCTCTCACCGCTCCCATCTTCCCGCCACAACGGATTGCTAATGCCATCTTGTCAGCCTCTGCTCGATACACAACGGGCTTCTACCACCTTATGTTTTGCTTGTCTTGTCGTTTCAACTCCTCCTCCCACCTTTCATTCACTACTGACTTCATTCAATAGATACATACACAGATACTTCACACACACACACACACACACACACACACACACACACACACACACATATATATATATATATATATATATATATATATATATATATATATATATGCCATTTATTTTCCTTATCATGACGCCCTTTTCGGCATTTTCTCGTTATTTCGTCTTTCCTTCCAATTTTACCTGCAATGGTTCCATTTCAGCTATCTTGTCAAATGTTGCCTCCAAAATTGCTCCATCAGACTTTTTAATTTGGCTTCCTGTAGATTGGATCTTGCTATTAAAGCAAAAAAAAAAAATCCCCCCCTAAAAAAACCGCTTCTTGTTCCGTCTTTATCACAGACTTTTCTTTATTATGGCAATCAGTTACTTCGGCAGATCCTGTAAAATGTAAAGTGACACCAAGTCTGGTCAGCTATTTAACCTCAATGGGTCATTTATTTAAAGATTTTTATTACTGGTAATATTTTTTCCAAAAATGTATTGCTGCTAATATTTTTTTTCCTCAAAAATATATTTGCAATATTAGAAAATATTGCAAACTTGTAATATTTTTAAGATTGTAAACTAGTAATATATTTTTTTATTTAAAAAACGTATTGCTGGTAATATTTTTTTCTTTCAAAAGTCTTTGACTGGTAATATTTATTCTTCAAAAATGTATTGCTGGTAATATTTTTTTTCCTTCAAAATCTATGGATGGTAATATTTTTTTCTTCAAAAATGTATTGCTGGTAACATTTTCCCTTCAAAATCTATAAAATCTATGTCTGGTAATATTTTTTCTTCAAAAATGTATTGTTCGTAATATTTTTTTCCTTCAAAATATATGGATGGTAATATTTTTTCTTCAAAAATATATTGCTGGTAACATTTTCCCTTCAAAATCTATGGCTGAAAAATGTATTGCTGGTAATATTTTTCAAAAATGTATTGCTGGTAATATTTTTTTCCTTCAAAATCTATGGATGGTAATATTTTTTCTTCAAAAATTTATTGCTGGTAATAATGTTTTTATTCAAAAATTTATTGCCAGCTTCAAAACCTATTTTTACACTTTCATAGCGTTTTGACCCCAGCGTGGGGGCTAACTATCGCCCATAGTTGGGACCCTACCTTCCCGGGTTACGATGGACCTGGGAACACCAGCCATTAAGGGGTGGTTACACGCTCCTCAAAACCTATTGATTAGAGACCTTGCTGCTGGACGCAATTTATCAGGACGCGGATGTAGTTTATCGTCTTAGCCAGGACGCGAAATTTCTTTAAGGTTCTTACTAACTTAAGCAATTGGCTTCTACGGACAATAGGTATAACAGTTTTTTGGTAAAGTTTAACATTTATACCCAAAATAAAAATAGAACGATACAGTTATACCTCATCCTACGTTGTTAGTTGTTTCCAGAGGTCACGACTTAGGTCGAAAAACGACTTAAGTCGAAATAAGCACACTATAAACCGCAAATAAGCACTTCTTATTTCTTATTAAAGTATTTATGATATGTACGTATAGTGTTCTGAATAATATAATTAATTTCCACCTTATCTTCTAGCGATATAGCCTTATGCTTAGCATTAGCACTAGCACTGGGACTTTTCTTCGGAACCATGGGCAAAAATGTATTTTAAAACATCATGTGAAGAAGACTGAATTCCTAATCGTTATTGGGGCGGAAAACAACGCAAGAGTGCCGTCTGTCGACAGGAATTTGAAATAAGAATATTTGCTGAACATACTTTATTATGCTATTTCTTTGTTGTTTTTAATTACTGTATGGCAAAAAAAACGCGATATGTTTAAAAACAACGGCAAAAAAAATCAGCGAGAAGTTGAATGAAGTCGGCTTAGATTTACATCAAAGCACTGCAGTGCCAATAGAAAACTCGTCTCTTTGTGAGACCTCTTTTTTTAGTGCGTACTTCTTTTGTAACAAAGAAAAGAGTACTGGGCTGCTACGTGACGGTTGTCCTCTTTTTTTTTTTTTTGGCAGCGAATGTTAGACGGTCTTCTCAAAGATGAAGAAGAGACTAGAGGCCACGGAGATATGGATCTACAGAAGGATGCTGAGGATATCATGGGCCGAGTGGGTGAGCAACGATATGGTCTTAGGATGCAAATAAGGAGGAAGCTTAGACTTAACATCAGGAAGAAGCAGCTGGAATTTCTGGGACACATAATGAGAAAAGAAAAGACTCGAGGTAACGGAGGTAAGGTTCTACAGAAGGATGCTGAGGATATCATGGACCGAGCGTGTGAGCAACGATGGGGTGTTGGAGAGGATGCAAACAAGGAGGAAGCTTAGACTTAACATCAGGAAGAAGCAGCTGAAATTTCTGGGACGCGTAATGAGAAAAGAAAAGACTCGAGGTAACGGAGGTAAGGTTCTACAGAAGGATGCTGAGGATATCATGGGCCGAGTGGGTGAGCAACGATATGGTCTTAGGATGCAAATAAGGAGGAAGCTTAGACTTAACATCAGGAAGAAGCAGCTGGAATTTCTGGGACGCGTAATGAGAAAAGAAAAGACTGAGGTAACGGAGGTAAGGTTCTACAGAAGGATGCTGAGGATATCATGGACCGAGCGTGTGAGCAACGATGGGGTGTTGGAGAGGATGCAAACAAGGAGGAAGCTTAGACTTAACATCAGGAAGAAGCAGCTGAAATTTCTGGGACGATAATGAGAAAAGAAAAGACTCGAGGTAACGGAGGTAAGGTTCTACAGAAGGATGCTGAGGATATCATGGACCGAGCGTGTGAGCAACGATGGGGTGTTGGAGAGGATGCAAACAAGGAGGAAGCTTAGACTTAACATCAGGAAGAAGCAGCTGAAATTTCTGGGACGCGTAATGAGAAAAGAAAAGACTCGCGGTAACGGAGGTAAGGTTCTACAGAAGGATGCTGAGGATATCATGGACCGAGTGGGTGAGCAACGATATGGTCTTAGGATGCAAATAAGGAGGAAGCTTAGACTTAACATCAGGAAGAAGCAGCTGGAATTTCTGGGACACGTAATGAGAAAAGAAAAGACTCGAGGTAACGGAGGTAAGGTTCTACAGAAGGATGCTGAGGATATCATGGACCGAGCGTGTGAGCAACGATGGGGTGTTGGAGAGGATGCAAACAAGGAGGAAGCTTAGACTTAACATCAGGAAGAAGCAGCTGAAATTTCGGGGACGCGTAATGAGAAAGAAAAAGACTCGAGGTAACGGAGGTAAGGTTCTACAGAAGGATGCTGAGGATATCATGGGCCGAGTGGGTGAGCAACGATATGGTCTTAGGATGCAAACAAGGAGGAAGCTTAGACTTAACATCAGGAAGAAGCAGCTGAAATTTCTGGGACGCGTAATGAGAAAAGAAAAGACTCGAGGTAACGGAGGTAAGGTTCTACAGAAGGATGCTGAGGATATCATGGACCGAGCGTGTGAGCAACGATGGGGTGTTGGAGAGGATGCAAACAAGGAGGAAGCTTAGACTTAACATCAGGAAGAAGCAGCTGAAATTTCTGGGACGCGTAATGAGAAAAGAAAAGACTCGAGGTAACGGAGGTAAGGTTCTACAGAAGGATGCTGAGGATATCATGGGCCGAGTGGGTGAGCAACGATATGGTCTTAGGATGCAAACAAGGAGGAAGCTTAGACTTAACATCAGGAAGAAGCAGCTGGAATTTCTGGGACGCGTAATGAGAAAAGAAAAGACTCGAGGTAACGGAGGTAAGGTTCTACAGAAGGATGCTGAGGATATCATGGACCGAGCGTGTGAGCAACGATGGGGTGTTGGAGAGGATGCAAACAAGGAGGAAGCTAGACTTAACATCAGGAAGAAGCAGCTGAAATTTCTGGGACGTAATGAGAAAAGAAAAGACCGGAGGTAACGGAGGTAAGGTTCTACAGAAGGATGCTGAGGATATCATGGACCGAGCGTGTGAGCAACGATGGGGTGTTGAGAGGATGCAAACAAGGAGGAAGCTTAGACTTAACATCAGGAAGAAGCAGCTGAAATTTCTGGGACGCGTAATGAGAAAAGAAAAGACTCGAGGTAACGGAGGTAAGGTTCTACAGAAGGATGCTGAGGATATCATGGGCCGAGTGGGTGAGCAACGATATGGTCTTAGGATGCAAACAAGGAGGAAGCTTAGACTTAACATCAGGAAGAAGCAGCTGGAATTTCTGGGACGCGTAATGAGAAAAGAAAAGACTTGAGGTAACGGAGGTAAGGTTCTACAGAAGGATGCTGAGGATATCATGGACCGAGCGTGTGAGCAACGATGGGGTGTTGGAGAGGATGCAAACAAGGAGGAAGCTTAGACTTAACATCAGGAAGAAGCAGCTGAAATTTCTGGGACGCGTAATGAGAAAAGAAAAAAGACTCGAGGTAACGGAGGTAAGGTTCTACAGAAGGATGCTGAGGATATCATGGGCCGAGTGGGTGAGCAAACGATATGGTCTTAGGATGCAAACAAGGAGGAAGCTTAGACTTAACATCAGGGAAGAAGCAGCTGGAATTTCTGGGACGCGTAATGAGAAAAGAAAAGACTCGAGGTAACGGAGGTAAGGTTCTACAGAAGGATGCTGAGGATATCATGGACCGAGCGTGTGAGCAACGATGGGTGTTGAGAGGATGCAAACAAGGAGGAAGCTTAGACTTAACATCAGGAAGAAGCAGCTGAAATTTCTGGGACGCGTAATGAGAAAAGAAAAGACTCGAGGTAACGGAGGTAAGGTTCTACAGAAGGATGCTGAGGATATCATGGGCCGAGTGGGTGAGCAACGATATGGTCTTAGGATGCAAACAAGGAGGAAGCTTAGACTTAACATCAGGAAGAAGCAGCTGAAATTTCTGGGACACGTAATGAGAAAAGAAGAGACTCGAGGTAACGGAGGTAAGGTT